TAATTACACGTTAAAAGTTTCTTCATGAAAATTTAAATAAGTTAAACGTTTCTTCATAAAGAACAAGTTGAAGAATTTAAGAGAATTCAATATAATTACACATTATGAATTAAAGACTTCAGTAGTAAAAGAGTTATTATTTTTTAAAGTTTCGAATTTGGTTGAGTCAAGTCGAGTAAAAAAAAGATAGAGTAGATGAGTTTTATTTTATAACTCAAATTTGATTTTATTTTTTTAAATAGAGTTGAATTATGCAGAGTCCTATTTTTCAATCAAAATCAGATGGACTAAAAGCATAAGGGATCAATCATATAATTTACCCATTTTATAAGATCCAGGTGGCTATGGCTGCTAGTGCAGTGGTGACAAAAAACGCCAAATCCAAGCGAAGACGTCACTGTTGTTTCATTGTTTGTCTCGTCTCCCACGTTGTTGCTGTTATATGTTTATTGTTTTCATTGTTGTTTGAGAGCAACATAGGATGAATCTGGTGAGCAAAGGAAAACAATGGGTTTCAGGCTTTCAGCCATGTTTATGATGAACATACAAAAGAAATACGTAAAGCCTGTTAAGTTTTTTGTTGTTGTTGTTGTTGAAAGAATCAGTTAGTTTTATCAAAAAAAAAGGTAATATCCATGATTATAATAAGATTTGCAATTACAATTAAAAAAGTTAAAATTCTATTGAACAGTAATATTTGATTTGATTTTTGTCGAAGGGGGAGAAATGGAGAAACTAATCCCTCTATTTTAATTACGGAACTTGGTCCTTGTATATTATAAACATTGAAATCAATCCCCTTTAAAACATAAGCCCCAATCCAAACCATACAAAGAGAGTCATCTCCCTCCAAAATCTTTTTAATTATCAACAAACAACATGCTTTATTCCAGCCAAGAAGACTCTTCAACCCCAAGCCACCTTCGGACTTGATAGAACATATTTGGGTACAACTGACACGAGCCTTTCTAGCAGAACAATCAATACCGCGCCAGAAAAACCTCATGAACAATTGTTCAATCTTCCAAACCACAGCCTTAGGCAATACGTTGCATGCTCCAATGATTCACCATGCTACAAAGAACAGCTTTGATCAACTGCAACCGACCTCCATAGCTGAGATTCTTACTAGCCCACTGCCCCAATTTACTTTTAATCTTGTCAACCAAAGTCGAACAATCCTTGTCATTCAGTTTCCTTGTAACTAAGGAACACCCAAATACTGAATTGGAAAATGCCCCAGCTTAAACCCAGTAGCAGCCTGGATGGAGCTAATCTGATCATCAGTCAAGCCACAAACAAACAACTCTGTGTTGGCAGCATTGAGCTTTAGGCTAGAAATATCATAAAATAGCACTAAGACACTAAGAACCCCTAGAACAGAATCTATGGAGCCATGGCAGAAAATTAATAAGTCATCTACAAAGCTTAGATGTGTAAAACTCGCCTTCCTACACTTAGAGTGGAATCTAAAAATTCCCTCCTTGACAGCCTTATCCAGAAGAGCAGAGAGCACATTCATGGCCAGAACAAAGAGATAGGGCGATAGAAGATCACCTTGTCTAACCCCTCTCTCACCTCTAAAAAACCCACCAAGCTACCATTGAAGGAATCTGAAAATCTAGAGTTGGTGATACAAGTTTCAATCCAGCCTTGAAGGCTAGGAGGCACACCCACAGCTTCAAGAACCTTCAACAAAAAATTCCAGCTAACAGAATCAAATGCCTTTTTTAAAGATCTATCTCGATGGCTCACCTCAGGGAGAGAGTCTTACGAGAATAACCTTTAACCAATTCCTGTGCCATTAAAATGTTGTCAACAATACTCCTACCTTTGATAAAAGCAGATTGGCTTGGATAAATCAAATTAGGAAAATAAACAGCAAGCATGCTAACAAGAATACTAGTGATCGTTTTATAAATAGGCCGAAAATCTTTTGTTGTAGAAGCATTAGGGACTTTAGGAATAAGGACAATGGTTGTGGCATTAAATGCGGGCAACAAATAAGAGTTTTGAAAGAAAAACCTCACATCTATAATAAATCACCCCTAACAACATCCCACGCAGCTTTGAAGAACCCAGTAGTAAACCCATCAAGACCTGGACTTTATCATCCCCTTGCCTAAATAATGCCTCCCTTATCTCAAATCAGTCACCTCTTTCTCCAACTCAGGGCCAACAGACTCATGTAAGACCCCATTCAACAAATCTCCAAGAACATCCACAGAGCAGTCCTAAACTTGAGGATCAGACCTTCCAATAAAATTGGTGAAAAACTGGATCATTTCATTAGACATGACTTCAAAAGTCTCCAACCGATTACCATCACAATCATGAAGCAATCTAATTGTATTATTTTCCCTATTTCTATCAACAATAGAATGAAAAAATCTAGTACTTAAATCCCCTTCCTGCACCCAATGAACTTTAGCATTTTGCTTATAAAAAGAAATCTAAGCAGCCTCCAACTCAATCAACTCAGCCTGAACAACTTTCTCACATTCTAAATCACTGCCGCCATGAGTCAAATTGAACAACTACACCTGCTCAAGTTGAACACTCTTAGCAGCCGCTCTCTTTGAAATATCCAGTGGCGGAGCTACAACTTGTCGAGGGTGGGCACGTGCTCGCCCTTAAATCTAAATTTTATTCAATTAGTTACTTATTTTATTAATATGCCCACCATGAAATTTTATTTGTACCTGCCCTATCTAAAAAATTTATGTTGTTAACATATTTGTTCCCACCCTAAAAGATGATTTGCCACTGAAAATATCCCATCTCCCATTGGGCAGCTCAAAAGTTGTGACTTCACCTTGTCTTGATCTGCTTTGGCCCTTAGATCATCATCCAACCCTTATTCTAATTTAAGTGTGGTAAGTCTATACATGAATGATTTTAGAGAAGAACACCTTGAAGTAATGAACAAAATCTTGAAGTATCTCAAGATGACACTTGGACATGGCCTCATTTTCAAGAAAAGCTGGGTTGGTGAGTTAACAGAGAGGAAGCCTACCAACGGCTACTGCTCTTTTGTTTGGGGCAATTTGGTCACTTGGCGAAGCAAAAAACAGTTGATGGTGTCTAGAAACAGTGCTGAAGCAAAGTCCCGAGCACTAGCCCATGGGAGTTGCAAAGGTTTATGATTACAAAGGTTGCTTACAGAGTTAAAGCTTAATTAAAGTGATCACTTTGATTTGCAAAGTGAACCAATCTGCCATCAGCATTGTAAATAATTTTGTTCCTCGTGATAGGACTAACCACGTAGAGATAGAAAGGCATTTCATTTTCGAGAAAGTTACAGTGGTGCAGTTATAATGAGTTTTTGCTCGCACTAAAAAATTACTAGTTGATGTTCTCACCAAGGCACTTCCAAGCAGGGTTTCAAATCGCGATCTCGATCGCGTTTTCGGTCATTTCGAGTTTACCGTGATTGTGGCTGTCACGGGCGCTATTGCATGTAACTCGGACGCGGCAAAATCACTATTTCACAGGCGATATCACGTTTTCGGACCGTGATTTAAAACCCTGCTTCCAAGCACCACCTTTGATGAGTTAACATTCAAACTGAGACTCTACAATATACTCTCCAGCTTGAGGGGAATGTAGATTGTAGACGTGTAGGGTAAAGTATGTATTGTACAGATTAAACATTAGTAGTTACGTTATATCCCAACTCTTATCTAAATTGTTGATATAGATAATGTAGATAAAGTCTTAACTTTACTGAGTTTAATCCTAGTCTAACTCCTTGTAACCAGCCTTTTAAAAGGCTGATTATTGAATGAGAAAAACTAGAAGAAACAGCTAGTTCTCTTCACCAAAACACCCATTATCTACATGTACCAGCAGTTATTATAGACTGACAGTGATGATAATAGTTTAATAGTGACAGTGATTTAATACACTTTCTTCTGTATTTTCTTTTATTCGTTTAATACTACCTTTTTACCTAATATGGTGGGAACAAAATAATAGATGCTTGAACAGGCTTCTTGCATCACCAGAAGCATTAACGGGGAGGCTAAAAGTAGTAATAAGAATGAGGCTAATGCATAAAAGATATCACACCTAGAGATAGACGCAAGATTTTATGTTAGGGGATAAACTTTTAAAATTTTAAGAATTGACTAATTTATAAAATTCTATGGTGGGTGAAAATAGATTTTTAATAGAAAAAATTAAATATATGATAATTTTAGTTTTTTAGTCGCCCCTCGCGTCCATCTCTGATCACACCCGACTTTTTAAATCGAAGTCTTTGTGGAAATTGGGAGCCAAATTCTGATATGTTTTCATAAACGGATATTGGGTTGTTATCCTGCTGTTTTGCTGCAGTTGCACATAACTAATGTTTTTCTTTTGTATGTGTGGCTGTTTTTGCTTCACATAGCTTATGCTAATCTTTGATACTGATACAGTAATTTAACGTATATATTGTCTGCTGTAGCAACTCAGCTGCTTCTTTGGATAAATTAAAAGAAAACTGTAATTTTGAAACTCTCCTTCAGCTTGGCCTATTACTTCTTTTGTGCAGTGGTGGGGGCCTTATAGCTTATGCTGAGGCAAACACATACAATGGCAGTCAGGGCCACATTGCTCATGCTGATGCAACTGCATCCGATGGAGGTCATGCTTTATCTGAAGTAGTTCCCAAGAAAAGAAAGCGGTGCTGCTAGGAACTGGGTGGGCAGGAATGAGTTTCTTGAAGAATCTGAATAACCCTACTTACGAGGTGGAAGTTGTGTCTCGTAATTTCTGTGTTTACTCCATTGCTACCAAGTGTTACATGTGGTAAAGTAGAAGCCCGCAGCATTGCTGAACCAATTCGCAACATCATCATAAAGGTAATGTGGATTTACTATGAAGATGTAAATATATTGTGGAATTCAGAAAAATCAGCTCTAGATGGATGCTGATTATGGTTTTCCTGCTTCATGTTTGAGCAGAAAATGTTGACATCAGTTTCTCTGAAGCTGAATGTGTCAAAATAGATCCTCAAAATAAGAAAATTTACTGTCGCGCTACTACAGATAGCCATTCAAAGGGGGAGAAGAGAATGCAGTAGACTATGACTACCTTATTATAGCCGTGGGAGCTCAGGTTAACACCTTTAATACTCCTGGTGTCATGGAAAATTGCCATTTCTTAAAGGTGATGTCTGTTTCCATACTGCCTTTAGAATTTTGGGGTTTATGGTGATAAGAGCCATTTCCATTTCATATACCAATATGTTTGTTTTCTTTTCTTTCATTTTAAGCAACGTGATTCTCTGTGCAGGAAATTGAAGATGCTCAGAAGATTCGTAAGAATGTTATTGAGTCCTTTGAGAAGGCAAGCTTACCAAGTTTAAGTGAAAAGGAAAGGAAGAAAATCCTTCACTTTGTGATTGTTGGTGGTGGCCCTACAGGTGTAGAATTTGCTGCAGAACTTCATGACTTTGTCAACGAGGATGTTGTCAAACTATATCCAAAGGTCAAAGACTTGGTGAAAATAACACTTCTTGAGGCTACAGATCATATTTTGAACATGTAAGAATGCGAAGCCTAATATTAATATACCAGTACATCGATTTACTTTTGCGCATATTAACATGAAATAACTTAAGAAAACATTTCGAATTCTTTACATTCAAGGTATTTATTTCACAATCTGAAGTTTTCTAATGCTTCTAATGCATTCTTGTTTTCAGGTTTGACAAAAGAATCACAAATTTTGCAGAAAATAAATTTGGAAGAGATGGCATTGATGTGAAATTGGGGTCAATGGTCACAGGAATAAATGAAAATGAAATTTCTACAAAAGCCAGAGGTAATGGCAAAACAACTTCTACTCCATACGGTATGGTTCTCTGGTCAACTGGCATTGGGCCTCGCCCTCTCATAAAGGAGTTTATGAAGCAAATTGGTCAGGTGATATACTTTTGTAACTAAGTTATCTCATTGAAGTCTTTACATCCTCCACTAACTGTGTTTTCGACGTCACTCTCACAAGTAATTTTGTTTCTTCTAATTATACTCACTGTACGACTATTGATTCTGTTGTAAAAGGGTAATAGGCGTGCTCTAGCGACTGATGAATGGCTGCGAGTTGAGGGATTTGATAACATATATGCACTCGGTGACTGTGCAACTATTAATCAGCGGAAAGTCATGGTACACATTTGTAAACTTCTGCTATTCCTTGATGATTTTTGGTTATGGCTGTTATTTTATTTTTCTTTCTTCTTCCTCTTCTAAATTCCTATAAAGTATAGGAAGATATAGTAGAAATATTTAAAAAAGCAGACAAGGACAACTCAGGAACACTTACAGTCAAGGAATTTCAAGAAACCCTTACTGATATTTGTGAAAGATACCCCCAAGTGGAGCTTTATCTCAAGAACAAGCAGAAGCGCAACATTGTTGATCTTGTGTAAGAAGCCAATGGGGATGCTGCTAAAGAATCCATGGAGCTCAATATCGAAGAATTTAAAGCAGCTCTGTCTGAAGTCGATTCTCAGATGAAGAATCTTCCTGCAACAGCACAAGTAATTATTCTACTTAATTTTGCAGTCGGACTAAAATAATGCCTAACACGTTAGCCATCTACAAATGTTTCAGGTTGCAAATCAGCAAGGTGCCTATCTTGCTAAATGCTTCAACCGTATGGAAGAGTGTGAAAAGAATCCTGAAGGTCCTCCTAGGTTCAGGGGAACAGGTTTCCATCGGTTCCACCCCTTCAGGTACTTATCGACTTATATCCCGCCTCTGTACATGGTTGTTGTCCAAGTCAAATATTATCTATTTAAAGAGCATCATTTTCCATCTTATACTTGCTTGGGGAAAGCTATGAATATAACACCTCAAATGTGATGCTTTAGTACATCAACCAAGGAAAAAATAACCCTTGCCATAAACGTTGGTGATGGTTGTTACAGGTACAGGCACTTGGGACAATTTGCTCCTTTGGGAGGGGAACAAACAGGTGCACAACTTCCTGGTGATTGGGTCTCTATCGGACACAGTTCACAGTGGCTCTGGTATTCCGTCTACGCAAGGTACGAATTAGTTTTCTACTCCAAGATTCTTTCTTTTCCATGTTCAACATCAGACTTGTTAGTCTAAAATGTATTCTTTTTTACTTTAAACTCAGCAAACAAGTTAGTTGGCGCCCAAGGGCATTGGTGGTCTCGGACTGGTTGAGGCGTTTTATTTTCGGGAGGGATACCAGTGGCATTTAAGAGTGTCACTTTCAAAGCAGCTTATATTAAACATGACAAGGTCTACAGTTTTGATGGATTGCTGTAGGAAAAAAAGAAGTTTTTTCCTTCCCCTTTTTAGCAATTCATTCATTTGTCAATAATTGCTGCCTTGCAACAGAGCTTAGGCGGTTTTGCAAATAAATTTTATTTATTTTTTGTCCCGAAACAAAAATTCTGTTATCAGAAAACTTTATGCTGTCTAAACAAAGACTTGATAGATCATAAAGATTAAAAAAATTCAGTTTAGTTGAATTATTTTTTTGGAAATGGGTTTTCTTCCGGTTTTGAGTTGGTATGAAAACAGACAATAAGATGGGAAAGTGATGAAGTTCTTGGTGATGAATGATTCAATGGGAAAGTGATGAAGTTCTTGAGTATAGGGGGGGGGGGTCGTGTTTAGTGACAACAACGATTAAAAAAACGTCGAACGTCGACCACGTAGGCAAAAGGAGGCTGACAATTACTAATTTGAAGTAAGATTATAGGATTTTTGGTTAGATAAGATGACTAACTTGAAATGCTAGACTTTCTTAACGATAGTTGATGTTAGTAATTGTAGTGAAACGAATTAAATGTTCAGTGTTTATATTACAAGTTTTAAAACTTGATGATCAAAATACAATGCCTTAAAAATTCAGTGATTATTTATTTATATAATTTACACTCGAAGAAATTACAGTTTTTAAGGGTTTAAAATATAACGTGAATTTGTTAAAACAATTAATTCATTAATTGCAAAACAGAGGAAGATGGTTTTATTTTTTGGTTCAACGGAAGATGAAGTTTATTTATTTATTTTTTGGATGAGTTTGATTTCTATTAATCTAAAACCAATCAACAACTACGTAAGTGTAACTTTAAATATGTGTTATCTATATCCTAAGTGTACAAATAACATTTTTTAATTAATTACTTATATTCAATTTATTAGTCGATTAATTTAGATTATGTTTTGCAGAGGTTTATGTAGGTCATGAGATGATCATTCTAATCTAATTTGTATTATTTACTCACTATATAAGTCGACAATATAGTCTTACTTCTTACTAGACCCTAACCTAAGAGGTTGTTTGATAAAATAAAATGATTAAGCACTGAATGATTCAATGGCCTGAATGATTCAATGGCTCTGTATGAATTGGCTCTGAATGTGACATGTTGTTTGATAATGGTTCTGAATGTACAATCTGAATTATGAATATTTTCATTTTTACCTTCATATTGATTTATTATATTATAGATATGATTGTTTAATAAGACAACATGTGAAAAAATATGTATTATGGTAAAATATCGGATGCTTAATGATTCAGAATGTACTTTAATGCTGAATCATTCAGCAATGTTTTGTTGTTTTATTCAACATAGTTTCATTCAGAGGTGAGAATCAAACACGCTGAATGTTGAACGGTTCAGCATTCAACGTTGAACGGTTCAACATTCGGCGCTGAATCGTTCCATTCAACAGTAAACAAACGGCTCCTAAGTTGAGGGTGTTCCATTTGCCTTGAGTATGATATGTTTATAGGTTAAAACCCGTCTGATACAATTTTTCTTATTGTTTTTATTAAAAGAAAATAGAGAGATAACGGAATATTATATATATATATATATATATACGGGGTATTGTAATAATTAATGTATAGGAGAATTATAATATTATTTCAAACCGGATCAAATTAGAGAGAGTCTTTCCTCATAAACCTGAATTCAATATAATTTTATCATTTACAAAATTTAATTTGAATTCGAACGTAAAATTTTCATTATAACATGTCGGGTTTTAATAACTTAAGTATCCCTAATTATTATTGATGTAACATACAAAAAATTATGAAACCAAATTTTCTTTTATTAATCTGGGTGATTACAAGATAATATATATTCAAAAAACTTTTAACCATTTAACAATAAACACTCAAACATCCCTGTAGATGGTATGCTCCAACTCGGGACCATTATGGATAACAATCACCCCTTTAACCACTGAAACCGCTTGGTTTGTGCAAAATCATACGTATTTAAATGTTTATATTTCATTTCGTAAAATATAATGTTTAAAATCTAAAGAGGCGAAAGCTTTCAACTGAAAAGCACTCGTGTTTTACATGCCAGAAGAACCGATGGCAAGGAAAGTAAGCATAAATTGGGATAGTTGAAAAGGGCATTAAATCCCCATGATTTCAGGGTTTAATCACATGTTTTGAGGTTTCTATTTGCATCGATCTGTCGCAATTCATGGTCTCCTGTTCATATGTTCACAGATAGCTACAATAGAGTGCCAAAAACCCATTAGCTTTGCCACCCTTGGCTCCACCTGTAGTAGTAGCAGTAGTCTTTATCATGACTGCTCAAAGACGGTAAGAACTCAGTGTAGAATTAGGAGAAAGTCGATGTGGGATATTAATCATATAATGCTTTTATCTCATTATTTTGTAAGCACATATACCATATTTTACTTTGACAAAGAACACATCTTTTGCCTTTTTTTTTCTTTAAGGAAAAAAAAAGTTCAGAAAATGAATGATAGCTTTATTGCCAATATGATAAATGATATTGCTTCATGTCAACTTCCTGTTGACAAGGTGGCTGCTGAGATTGTTTAAAATAAGTACATGTGCAAAATTTATGTTTGGAGTATGAATTTAAGAAATTATCCGATATTCATAATTATCATAAAATTATAAAATTTTCGAGTTGTGAAATTAAATCATTATAGAAAATATAAAGAAAATACATAAACACTTCTCGATCTATCCCTGACTCAATGAATCTAACAAAGAGATTAGGGCTTCATGGGTTGAAAAATAGAAATTAGATTTGCTCAAGTATTTGATAAATAATTCAGATCATCTGAATTTAAATTAGGCATGTTGAAATATGAATATTTATTTGATTAAAATAAACTATTAAATAAAAATATTCTGATTTAAATATAAATATAATTTTACAATTTCTCAAACCGAGTTGGACTTTAGAACCTCTTGAAAGCAAGCTACTTTCTTTCTTTTGCATCAAATGGGAAGGGAATCCTCATAACTTAGTGGTCCATAAAGGCTTTGTTTTGTTGTTTCTCAAAGTATTAAAATCCCACCACCAACTTTGTCTTTTTTTTATTCTAATCGGTAATTTTTCTAAGTGATTCTTAAATACTATATTCATTTACTTGTTAAATAAGTAAAGCCTTGTGATTTCATTTTCAATTCCAAAAAGAAATAAGCAAAGTGAGATTGAAAAAAAAACGAAAAACACTTTGAAATTAAATCAAATTAAGTTCAATTTTGAAGCATGACACGAATATATTTATTTTTATCAAAGTTATATTCTTTTATGGTCGAATTGTTTATCTATGATTAGAGATTTATTCAGAATCTAAGACTACTATGACTAACCAAATATGAACAAGTATAAAATATGTTAATGTCATAAATAGAGTATAAATTTTCATTTTCTTGCTTTACAAGAATGAAGTTGGTGAGATGTTCTAAATATTGTAGACTTTGGTCTCCTTACAAAAGTAAAATAGAGTACAAGTTCTTCTAAAATTATTAAATTTAAGTTAATGCAATATAAAAATATTTTAACTCCTACAATAATAAGATTATAATTTAATCTTAAAAATTATAAAATTATAATTCAATTTCGACTATACCTTTAAATCCCATAAAATTAAGGAAAATTGATTAGCATTGAGTGCACCATATGATGCATGTATGAGATCAATGCCACGAAGCTAGTTGTGATACCCGTACCATCAACGGCCAAAAATTAATGGTAAAGTAAATCTAAAAGTCTCAATTCTTGGGACCATCCATTATCTATTAATACATCAGCCCATACAATTAAACGTTCATCTTCTTACCTTGTACAATAAAAGTCTCAATTCTTGGGACCATCCATTATCTATTAATACATCAGCTCATACAATTAAAAGTTCATCTTCTTACCTTGTACAAATTCCAATACTATTAAAATTGTCCAACCATATCAACCGGTGGAAAAAAGTAGCAGAAAGTTGATCGAATCTGATCAGATTTTAAAAGAAGAATTTAATTGTAGATAGGTGTCCCAGAGCAACCCATTGTAAAACACATTCATATCTATACATAGTAGTACAGATAAAATCATCATAAAATTGATGAAATCCCTATGATCAAACACCCTCAGTACTTTTAAT